CCCAAATATAAAGAAATCAACACCACAAAACCTGCAGGATTATGTCTGATGCCATGTTCACACATACACAGGAGTAATGAAACAGAGTAAGACAAAAATTTTAAGTCTAGCAGGTCGGGGCTACTCTGGGTACATTTCGCCGAGCAATCGGCCTCCCTCCCCGAGTGATATTTCATGGTCGCTGCGTGAAAGTATTACATGGGGAGCTTGCTGAAACTTTCAAACCTGTTTAAAATGTTGTGAGTGAAAAATGGTGTCGCCGAGTCAATAACTCGCTCGGGGAAAACTCGGGAAGGACTCGGGGAGTGTCAGAAAGAGCCGGCTTGCAAAGGTGCATGCGTTGCCGAGTGACAGTGACACGCCGACGAGATCTGAATGGTAGCGAGTTAAATTTCATCATCTACGAGTTAAATCATTGATCACCGTATACAAATCTTGCACAGGTAGTCGGAGTTACTCAAGCTCGGCGTGCAAAAGTTGATACGATGAGCATGCGCCTTGAGATCCTGCTCCAGTGGCACCGACATTGACATGGGTAAATTTATAATTGGCAACCCTAAGTGCCAAGAGGCAAAAGGGTTATGGAGTAGAACCTTTTGTAGTTGAAGTAAAAACAGAGTTAGAATGACATCTGATAGCCGCATTGTCAGGTTTCCCATCCAAAGTTCCAATCCAATGTGATAGATTCCACTTGATTTCAAATAATTCTTCTGCAATAGCCATCCACGGGTCTGTGGTTGTAGGTAGAGCAAGGACTTCATCACAGTCATGTATCAATCATTCAATGAAAGCTTGACAGAGTTCGGGGATGAAGATACAGATAGTGTAGCACGCCACTCTGAAGCCACACTGTTGAGATCTGTAACTACATGTATTTCATGTTGCCAGGTATTGAAGAGTGACGGCCAGCTTGATTCCAGGTTCCAGTGATTGCCTTCAGAAAGTGTTTGCCTTGTGGATTGTGGGGCCAATTTACTCAAGTAGTTTTTGGAAAAACTCTGGAGAAACTCTAGGAAGTTCCTGAAGGATGCATCTTCAAGTTCAACTTGCAGTTCAGCCACCAGCTTCTCAAACTGTCCGTAAAGAGGCATTCTTATGAGCCATGGTTGAACCCAGGAGGTCCTCCTCCTCCTCCTCCTCCTCCCCTTTTTGTACCAGCACAACAGCAAGGGCACCGTATAGCAGAAGTACGCACCCATCGCCTGTGTCATGAGACATGTTGAAGGAATGAGTGCTAACATTTTGCCTTCCTGCCTCTTTATACATTGCTCGCTAACTAACTCGGCGACGAGTCGGCAAGATGGTCAGCATGGTCGGCGAGTTTATTGGCGTCTGAAATTTTACTCGGCCGCTATGTTTATTGGCTCTGCAAGGGGACAGGTTTCAAACTACAACAATGTAATTGCTTGGCAAGGCGCTCGGCGAGACACTCGACGAGATGCTCGCTGTCCTAAATTATTGCTTGGCGAGCGTCGCCCCGAGTGCTCGCGACACAATAATGCCAACAGTCAGGGCCAGATGATTGTCACGATTAAACCCGAATTTGGCATTATCTTATTGTGAATTGCTCGTCGACTCTTCTCCTTTTGGTGTGATCACCGCTTAAATCAAGAATGCTTAGATTACCATGCTTAAAATAAAACTGTCTGTGGTATGGTCCAGATAGTTGTAGGAGGTTTCGTGGAAAACGTTGGTTGTCAGAGGTACTCCAAGCCCAAGCAAACAAGGTTTCTGTTGTTATTCGGTGACACCTTACCCGACCCCCGAATTCAAATGGCGTGCTCTTTCAAATCAAATATAACCCTACGTGCAGCACAAAAGGCATTTTGTTTTAGATTTTATTAGGTATCATCTGCAAAACATACTAAAATGTTATACGAAAAATATAAGTAGAAATAAAAGACAAAGGGCAAAGAATAATTATGTTTAATTCTATGTACTGCTGTAAAATCTGAATATTTTCGAAGGTTCCCTGAGAGGTATCAGATACCAGTGGGCATTTGGCTGTTTTTGAACCTCTGGTCAGGGTACATGTAACTCGTTTCTACTTTTATGAAAGTCTGGCTTTTTCCATGGTTGACATCATCAGGCATTGAGTAGTATTTTTGCTGTTTCGTCTTAGATGATGTTTGACACTTTAGTCCTTTAATGTATTCTTTTCCGAGGTTCTTGGTGGAGCGGTGGTAAGTAATATCAAGTAATATGCTTACGTCAACATGTCCAGTCAAACAAGAGCATTTCTTCTCTTTGTTATAACGTTATAACTCACAAATTCTCGAAAAACGTTACCATAATGTAATACCCCCAATGAGAAATTGATAGCGATGATCATGCCCATGGTGACATGCAGTAACACATGCTATAATGTAAGGTGTTCTTGTCCTCGATACAAAATTATTTTAGAAATTATTTCCATCTTGCACAGCGGGCGTCTTTGGTGATTATCTAAATTATAGATCGTACCAATAATACAATAAAAGCAAGAAGCACGTTGGCTTATTAAAGTAAATAGAACATTCTATACTTCCCAGAATGAAGACAATCTTGGTTGGAGTACATATCTTTACCCATAAATTTCCTATATTTAAAAAAATGCAATATGACATAGATAGCTTTCTCCTTCTTTTTAAAAATCGTTTTACCCAAATTTACAAACATTGACTTCTTGGCTCCTGCGTGGAAGCGAAACTGATTTATAATACCTGTGCGTTACAGAATTGCAAATAGTGTCCGCACCAAAGTGAGGGGACAGGTGACCGAGGTGTAGCGATTAGGCGCTTCGCCCTCACAAGTAAAAAACCCGAGTTCGATTTCCTTGAGGGGGAGAATATTTTTATCAAGTATCGCAATCTTTCTGCTCTGACGTTGTTCCGCCTGTGTTTGCCCAGACAGGCAGGGTCGAAGCCTGTCTCCCACATTACCTATTGTGTCGATGGAGGCGTAAAAAGCACTACACACTAATAAAGTGAGGGATGTACATTGAAAAACCCCTTCTAAATTATAAACCCAAGCGTTTCAGTTGTTTATTTTTATCTTTCCAAAAGTCTTATTGCGTGTTCTTAAGGGCAACAGTTGGCCAACATCTGTTTGAACATATATATATATATATATATATATATATATATATATATATATATATATATATATATATATATATATATATATATA